GCCTAAGGGCCACTCGAATCGGCCGATGTAGCAAAGACCTTCACAGGCGACATCCCCTCGAGAAAATTGCAACAAACCAATAGCAAGTCAAAGCAATTTTTCCCTGGTACGAACTTGTGTGTAGAAAATAATGCAAAATTTACTAGATCCATAACATTTCGTGAGCGCTCATCATTTGCAGCCACTCCAAAGCGTTGAAGAGTGGCGAATGAGAAAAATACGAAATTGAATTGGTACGGAAAGGTCACAGGTCATAGTCACTAAGGCTAATTGGTAAAGTAAGAAGGTTAAAACAAGGTGGAAGGAGAAACAGAGGAAAATGAGTTACGAGAAAAAAGGGGAACAGGGAAATGTGTAAATGTGGGAGCTTGTTGTTACCGAGGCAAGGCTAGGTTAACCACATGCTCCAACTGTTTGAGTATGTCAGGTTTGGAGCGTCTTATATAAGCTGCGTCTTAGGCAATTGGCAGCCAGAGCCAAGAAACGCCTGCCTAGTTGGTTATTCAAGCAGGAAAACCGATCCCCTCGTTCCTCCATTACGTAACACTTGCTAGACACGGGTCAGTCCGTGGACCCTTTAACCTCATTCCGAGTTCTTGTTCGAGCACGAACATCTCGGATCTTGCGCTTCCTGGAGGCAGCTTATATAAGACGCTCTAAACCTGACCTTCGCAAACAGTTGGAGCATGTGGTTAACCTAGCCTTGCCTCGCTAACAGCAGGCTCCCACATTTACACATTTCCCTGTCCCCGGGGTAGTAATGTTCAGGGAGTAGTACAGCTGTTGACATCTTGGTGACAGTTCTGTGGCACTCTGCACGCTTAGCGTCACTGCACTGAATCATCTTTCCCTCGTCTGCCATGGCTCGCATCACGCGCGTCATATTAAGTCGCGTCGGCCTTTCAAACGCTATCGATTGACTCGCTGCTTCAAACGCTCCTACGTTCGATGGCAATCGACGAGAGAGTACAAAAATCGCGCAGGGAAAACCACATAACAAACACACTTTCACGGACCCACCTGGTGTGTAGACACAGCTGTCAGCTGGCTCTTGACATTGGAACAGTAGAGCTGCTTCAGTTTATTTTATTTTTCTTGATTTGTGACTTGGGAAACCTTCTGTTTTCGACACAACCACTTGCGAAGTTTTACCAGCGGTTTTGACGAGTTCCGCCGTGTGTTCCACAGCAAGGTGGTGCAGGGACGGTGGCTTTCGCTGGATCTACCTCACTCTCTGTTCCACTCCCCGACCTGGGTTCGGTTTCAAGACAGAGTCAAGAAGACCGGAGGTGGGAGAGGACGCAGGCCCACACAGTATGGACCTCCACAACCAGGAAATCACAGCAAAGTTGGGCGCGGTTCAG